ACCAAGTAACGCGAGAGAAGCAATCAATGAAGGTAACAAAATACTTGTATCCATTCATAGAACTTGTGGAACATGGCCCCCACACATCTGAATGTATCATATCAAATGCATGAGAACTCCTATGATCAGAACTAACATAAGAGCTTCTAGTAAGCTTTCCCAACTTACATGCATCACACACAAGTTTCTCTTTATTTACTTTCTCAAATAAAGATGGATACAACCTACTTAAAACACCGAAAGAAGTATGTCCCAAGCGTTTGTGATGAAGCATCAACACACTCTCAGCACTCATCTCATCCTACTCCTGCTCTCTCTACCATTGACACAAAAGCTGAATCTAGCCCTTCACGATCCAGATACCACAGTCCATTACGCCATGTGCCAGTCCCAAGTCTCCGTCCTGTCCCCTTCTCCTGAAAGATCATCTTGGGAATATCAAAAGAAACAATGCATTTTAGTTGGAGGATGATAGAACTAATGGATAAAAGATTGACTGGAAAAGAAGGAGCATGCAAAACATTGGACAAAGTTACAGAACCAGTACAATCGACTGTACCCTTACCAACCACCGGCTGAAATGTACCATCAGCTGTTTGAATACTATCAAGCGATGCTAAGTGAGTATATGATGAGAACTCACTAGCATTACCTGTCACATGGCGAGACGCACCGGAGTCGACTATCCACTCTGATGATCTGTCGGGAGACATAGAAGCAAGAGCATGTATGTCATCAATACCTTTGGTCGAATGAGCATAGGTAGCAGTGTTGCCTCTGGCGAAGAACGAAGTGGATGCCTCCTCAGTCCCACTCCTCAAGTCTCAATCCCCTGCTACTTGCTGTTTTTTTCTGAGTATCGTCAGGAGAGCACGATCCTCCTCTATAAAGACCACCTCAGCTTCTTCTTCCTCTGCTACCGTCAGATTCGCCCGATTCCCTGCTCCTCTTCCACCTCGTCGACCCCCACGGCCACGACCACGACCTCCGAACTGTACACGTCCACCCGAATCTCCTTCCTTGGGTGGCTTGGTGCAAGCATGCCTTAGATGACCCACCGTGCCGCAGTTGTAGCACTGTCGAGTCTCTCCCCTAGATCCAGTGTTACTAGAGGCTGCCATTGCTGACTTCACCACAGGAAGTCCACCTGTCCCTGCCTGCAGCCGAATGCGAGTCTCCTCCTGGATCATAGCAGAGACAGCCTCCTCAAGCGTGCGAATCTTCGGCTGAGCTAGTAGCAATGCGATTCGCTGAGCGAACTCTGATGTCAATCCTTTGAGAAACACCATAGTTCTCTCCTGAAGAAAGGCCTCCCGCTCTTTACATCCCGGGTCCTTGCAGCTAGCCCGGGGGGGAAAATGATCATAATCCAGCCACAAGCGCTCCAACTCTATAGCATATTCCTGTACAGTCCTCTCTCCCTGGACTGTGGCGTCGATCTCTCCTTTAATCTGGAATACCCTCAGGTTATTCCCGACTCCGTCATATGTCCTCCTCAACTTCTCCCAGACGTCCTTCACCTTCTCAATGCCATCCACTGTGGCTGCGATCGTCGGGACCAATGAATTGAGAAGCCATATGTACACCAACATATGAGTGGACTTCCACTCATCTCTTCTCTCCGAGTCCTCCGGCTCTGTCACCTCTCCTGTCAGATAACCCTCCAGATTCCTCCCTGCAAGGATGTATCTCACCCGTCGCGACCAGCTCAGGTACGTATTCGGTCCATCAAGCTTCAGATCGATGGTCGGAAGCTCCAACTTCTTCGATGGTTTTGTCGCACTCTCACCAGCCGACAACTTCATTAGCTTCATCAAAGTTGATACCTCCGCGGGGTTCAACTTCTTGATGATCTCCTCCATCGAATAGGCTTCAGACCCACCGCCTGTTCACCTTCTCTTCCAACGCTTGTTGTGTGCAGTAAAAATTTCGGCAGCACCTCTGCCACACAACAAGAGTAGGATCTCAAACAAATTCTCGTTTCTCAGAGGAAACAAGAACCAAAACCAGTTATATATCTCATCGATGTGAGATATAAACTCTTCCTGTCATCAGTTCGAGGACTGAGTCAAGGGAACCCATGCCAAACTCTAGGTCCAGCATAGCGCAGCAAGCGGCGGGCAAAAAAGGGGGGGGGTTCCGGTGGGTCTGAGGATGTGAGATATATACTCTTCCTGTCATCAGTTCGAGGACTGAGTCGAGGGAACCCATGCCAAACTCTAGGTCCAGCATAGCGCAGCA